CAATTGGAGCGGACAACAAGTCTCCAAGTTCAAGCATTTATTAACTACCTACAATGCACTAATTGAACACATGATAATTGGCTAAGTACAGAGCAAGCTATGGCAAGCAATATAATATGCTTTACATTTCTTAACAGAAAAAAGGAAAAGAGGGAGATAGAGGGAATGGGGGAGTACAGATCACCGGTCTGGATTCCTGCGCTGATCCTGCCGGCGAGGATTCCAGGAGGCAGCTATCTTCTTCACTGGCATCCGTCGTCTTTGCTTCACTGCTCTCTCCAGACGGCCGGGTTGGGGGGCAGGGAGAGGGGCAGAGAGAGAGAGAGAGAGAGCCCTTTCTTCTCCCCTTTGATTTATACCCACTTTCCTTGGGTCTGTCCCCTAGGTCAACCCACAGACCTACGTATCCCATGTACAGGGAGGGGTAAGGTGTTTCATGGGATGATGTCACTAGCATGATCATGACAGCCCTCGTTAGCATATTGAGGGGTGTCAACTTTAATATGCATTTCGTGGATAATGAAGCAAAGTTCATTCACCGGACACATGGCCCTTGAAATCTGCCCAGGTGCCCCAGGGCAGAGCCGTCCCATCTCCACAGGGCTCTCTCCCCCAGATACATCCGGCAGCCTTATCAGCTTCGGCCTCCACAGAAAGCACCCTGTGACTCATGGTTTTGTCTTGGGAGTGTTTGAGGCAAATCTTCAATCAGCCTCAACTTTTGCTTTCCCAGGCTGTTTGTCTTAGTTTTTCACAGGCCTGGTTGCTCGGCTCTCACACCTTCCCACCACCATTGCTCTCCTGGCAGGATGAGAGGTGATGGGGCTGGAAGACCTGTGGTTGAAGTAGCCTGTGGACACAGAGCCATCATGGAGGGCTGATTGTCATGCCTGCGTACATGAGAATTGCCTTGTATCCTTTGGATTTCCACTCTTAGGATCTCCACACTGATAGAAGTCAGGCTGTCAGTGTCATGCGAACCTGGTATTTCTTCCTCCTTTCCTGGGTGAGCTCTGCCTCTTCCCTTTCAACCCAGGCATGGCTGCATCACCTCTTCTAGGCATCATGGTCATCCCTGTGCTGCTGCTGACATGCAGAGGTGACACGCATTGCCAATGGGTACCTACGCCAGGAAAGCCAATGTGAGCAGCTGGTGACCTGTCTGGCAGCCCCAGAGCACATTGCCCTTTGCGTTACAGATGAGACAGCTGGAATCCCTCTGCAGAGGTATGCCAAAAATGCAACTCCCAATTCCAGGATGCCACAAGACCTGGGTGTTCCCAGTGATGGGGCCATTGCCCAACCTACCTTCAGGATGTTGTGATTTGCTGTTGGGCTCCCTGGGGTTTGGGATGCTGTGTCTGATTCATCGGGCTGGAGAGGAAGAGTGAGCAGTGTGATTGGAGGACTGGTCTTTCAGATGTTGACAGACGGGTCCCAACCTCTCCGTGTGTCTTTATAAGCCAAGAGGACAGGTTCACTCAGTGCCGTCGACCCTTCCGACTTCACAGACAGGCCTGGAGCAGCAAGTCAGGTTGATGTGCAATGTGTGCTTTTCTTCTAGCTCAGGCTGTTGCTGAAAGACAAGATCCCAGCTGAGTCGAGAGGCTTTATTATCCCTCCAGCTGTTCATTTTATCCATGGAGAACCTGGGCATTTCAGTCACCATTGCAGTTAAAGTGTTCTCTGAAGGATCTGTTTTGCAGTTCTGCATCTGAGCTCCTTTATATTTTGTTTGCAAGCATGAGCTCTGGTACTTCCCAGTGATCTGAGGGAGCACTGTGAGTACTCCTGGCTGTGGTTAGACATTTTCCTGGGTCTCCAACCATTTTGGCTGTGTGAAGGGCATGGGGTGTCCCTGCACCCCTAGATTTGGCTTGATTGGATTACCCAGAGCTGATGAGTGGGGAATGGCACCTTTGAGAAGGAGCAGAGACCGCTTCTGATCTCCTCCATCCTGCCTGCCTGTGCCCAGGGACTCATGGATGAGCAGCAGTTTGCCACTAGAGATAGTGTTTCTGGGTTTGGATGGTAGGACGTGTTGCAGTCTGTTCTGTTGGGCTCTGTTCAAGTTTGTTGATATGCTCTGCTACATACTTTGGCTTGATGACAGAAGCAAGTGTTGGGAGGACCCACAGCTGAGATGAGTGGTCCAGAACACCCAGGGTCTGGCGCAGGGGTGCCATCAGGTGGTGCTGAAGCTCTGAAGCGTGGCAGCATGTGGCTGGGTCAGATGGAGATGGGCAGTTGGGGACTGGAGGAGACGGCCCTGCTGTGGCCGAGCTCTGTGGATGCAAGGCTTGGTGGGCATTGCAGACAGGTCCCCTGCGAGGCAGTGAGCTGACATCTCTGCTGAGTCCTCCCGTGCTGGGGCAGAATCAGGGAATGCTTCAGCTCAGGGTGGCTCCGGGTACATGGGGATGGACACAACTCTCATGAATGGTGTGACCCCAAGGCTTGGGTGCAGGAGGCTGGGACTGTCCTTTTGTCTAGTCTTTACAGGTTCCTAACATGTTTTTACATGAAAACCCAGGATTCTATTACTGCTTGCTGAATGCCACAGGTATGTGCATTGTCTTCCTAATCCTTCCTCCTTCGACACAAAGGCTTTAATCTCTTGGGATACAAGAATGCCTCACTCACACCTGTGGGCTTCGTGGCACAGCTTGTCACAGATCATGGCTACTGTCATATGCCACATAGTATCCGGATGACATGGTGTGGGCAGAAAAGCCTTCAGCTATGGTGGTGACCCCCAAGACATGGGAAATCTTAGTACCACTGCTGAGGATCTGGGCAAGCGGGTACTGGGTGGAGGAAATCCTCATCACAAAGTGTGCAGGGTTGTGAGCCAGGCATGAGCCACAGAAACCACAGGCATGTGGGCTGTTGTTGATCATGGGGCAGTGGAAGGTCTACTTGCATATGATGATGTGCAGGGCTGGCTGCAGGTGTAGGGGAGATGGACCATGCAGGAATACCTCAGAAAGGATGGAGAACTCTCCACCCAGGAGATGGGAAAGGCTTTTTGAAGGGACTTCTACAGACCTCTGGTCCAACTTCCTACTCAGAGCAGGACCATCCCCAGTGCCAGCTCAGGCCCGCCCTGGTTTTGTCCAGCCAAGGCTTGAAAGCCAAGGTGTAGACCCAGGGGAAAGAAGCCATCTCCTAAGTGACACGCTCATCAAGAAAATGCAATTGGTATGAACACTCAGGGTGGGTTTTTCAACAGGAAAACAGTGCTTGGAAGCATATTATTATATCTGGCATGGAGAGGGCCCCTCTGTCATCTAATTCCTGTGTAGCCTTGGCTTCTTGGTCCCTTGTAAGCCACACTGCTTGCTGAAGTGGCTATTTCAGTAATTTGGTCACTCTCTGATGTCCCCTGGCATGGCCTGCCACATCTTGCCTGTGTCTGTGCGCAATTGAGCCTGGTGAGAAGGCTGCCACTGTAATTCCTTCCTTCCTGCTGTCCTTCCTACCTGCCTTCTACATGCAGTTTGGAGGGGCTACAGACTAAAAACACCTTAAAATGGTGATTTGCACCAATGGATCCCACCTGCAGTTGTGGCCACTGGTGTTTGGCAGCTGGACAGGACAAGTGATAGTAGGCGAGACCAGGTTTAGCAATGCTGTTTGTCTACAGGTCATGGGGCAATCTGACTTCTCCTTCCTTCGATCACCACAGCAATTTAAACCCAGGACATCCTCATCTGCATGGGGTGAGGCACCAAGATGTTGGTGGTCAGCTTGAGCAAGACTTAAGTTGACACTTTATTGTAATGTGTGATAGTGAGGTTTTTTCCTGCTGCCCACATGGTGCTGTGCAGTGGGTAGTTTTTCCCATTTTTTCTGAGCAGCCCATGAAGACCTTTCCATGCTGGAAGGGTGCTGGGAACATGTGCCCAGACAGCTCCTCTGCTAGGCAGAGAGTCTTTTCTAGCTCCTGCAACAGGGTGTCCAGGGAAATAAACTTCACTGGACCTGTCCTGAAGTCTGGATCCCCTTGAGCTGGTGTGCTGGGGACATCAGAGCACACCAGGAGAACATGGTGGTGATCAGGGATGGAGCAGGGGAGCTCCTGAAGAACAGATCTCTGACATGACCCCTTCTGCTTGGGGTACAATGCTTTCCCTGAGAAACATCCTCATGCTTTGCCCAGGGAAGGGATGGCTGGAGGCTGCTTGTCCCACACTGCAGTTGCAGCTGGACGAGGGCCAGGTGGGAAGGGTCATCAAGACACGCTTGGTATGGGTTCCTAACTGTGTAGGGGATTGGGAAGTGTTAGGAGGTGGATTTTGGTGGGGTGTAATACTGACATATTAAGACACCTCTACAGATACAAAACTTAAGACAGTGGCCCTCCACCCACATGGTGTGGCTGTGGCTCTCAGGTGGATAAAGGGCTCTCAGAGGCTGGTCACATCCCTGCAGAGCAGCCACCCCCACCTGGAGAGGGGACTTGCTTGTGCCAGGTGATGAGCAGCAGCACCAACAGGCTTTAACACTCAAGGCAGGGACCATAAAAGCAGATCCGTAGGGTCAAACCAGAGGTCTGGGTAGCCTTTGGTAGTGTCTGGAGGAGGAATCTTGGGGAAGGGCAAAAGGGCAAGACAGATGTGGCTTTCCCTGAAGCCCTGCAACTCCAGCTGTGTTCAGCTCAGAGACCCCCAGCCCAGATGTGGCCTTTTTCCATTTCCTCCCCTGCATCCCCTTGGGACCTCCAGCCCTAGCCACCCATGTGTCACCGAGTGCTCTTGCTCAATGCTTCAACCAGAGCTGCAGGATGTTGCTGAGTGCCCAGTGCCAGGCAGAGGGTCCTGTATGATGCCGCAGCTGGTGTGGTTTGGGCTTAAAACACCCAAAGCATGTTGCAGCATCAGGCATTGGTGGTGCTGCCAGTGGTGCCAGAGCTTCACAGCATTTGCTCATGCCTCCAGCACACCCACCATCCTGCTCACACCAACCCCATTATCCCCCAGGTGCTGCAGAGAGGTGAGATGTGGCTGCTGCTGGTGGCCCTGTGCTTGGCCCAGGGGCTGGGCGATGCCATCCCATCCACCGAAGTGAGCCACCAAAACCCTGAGCAGTTCATGAACATCGTAAGTGTCAGGGGGTCAAACCCAACCCCCATGGGACCTGGGCTTCCCCAGATGGTGTGCCCAAATCCTGCCTGAGGGATCAGCTGGGTTTGCCCCATCCATTACCCTGGCATCTGCACCTGGGGTCAGCCGGGGCATTTGAGACACCAAGAGTTTCCTTTAATTGCACAGGTTTTACTCACTTCATGCCCTCAGCTTGAGGTTGGCCTCTCCATGGTCTTCCTCTAATGTAGATGGACCTTCAGGTCTCTTGTGTGCAGATGGAGGTGACACCAGAGAGGGTGGGTGGTGGCAGTGGGTGTCATTGGGTCAGGTGTGGGGTGATGGACATCAGTGGGTCACTCTCTCCCTTTGGACTGTTGTCCCTGCAGAGTCAGAAGATCTGTTTCCACGGGTATCCCAGTGAGGAGTACAATGTGCTGACGGAGGATGGTTACTTCCTCATCCTCAACCGCATTCCCCACAGCAAGGGGGACACTGGTCACTCAGGTGGGCTCAGTTTCACTAAGGATGAAGCAGCCGTGGCCCTGCTCAGAGATGAGGCAGTGTGCAAGGGGAAGCCAGTCCAAACACCCATGCCTTCAGACAGACTTTTGGCAGCTGGAAGAGGGATGAGAAGCTTTAACCCAGCTGCCTTGAGCTGTCCCTGGGGATGCAGGAGCTCAGCATTGTGTTTTGTTGTGTCTGGGATGGAGCAGCGTGACCCAGTGAAACCCAGTGGCTCCTTCCCTGGAGAAAACCCCTTACCCTGGTCCAAGATTTCCTGATAGCTCGGGGCCAGGGGTGGTAAAAGTCATTCAAATAAAGAAAGCAACCAGCAGAGCCAAGGAAATAATGGGAGAAGGGAATATTTAATGTGCAACCTGCAGAAAATAATACTCAGATGCACAGGGCCATTTTATTTCTAGATGGGAAGGGTTTTTCTTGTGTGAAGTACCCAATTTCTCCTCTTTCAGGATCCAGGTTACCCGTGTTGATAGTGCATGGGTTCAGTTTAGACGGTGGTGACTGGGTGGACAACCTCCCCAGCAACAGCCTGGGCTTCATCCTTGCAGATGAGGGGTATGATGTATGGATTGGAAACAACCGGGGCAACAGCTGGTCTCGCCGGCACCTGAACCTTTCTGTCAACCAAGAGGAATTCTGGGATTTCAGGTGAGGAGGCCACCAAGGATGCAGCTGGGATGCTGGCCTGCCAACACCAATCGCCTGGTGTGCTTGGGAGGTTGGAACATGAACACCTCCTCCAGCTTTTCCCCTTGCTCCACAGCTTCCATGAGATGGCCATGTATGACCTCCCTGCCATGGTGGACTTCATCCTAAGGCAAACCAAGCAGGAGAAACTGTTCTACATTGGCCACGCTCAGGGCAACTCAGTGGGTGAGTGAGAAGGAGGAGCAGGCAGTGGGCAGGAGCGGGGTGACAGGATGCCACGAGAGAGGGGCATCAGTATCCATCCCAAACTGGAGACTGCTGAGCACAGGGCTGTGTTGGCCCATGGGGCCACCTTCCCCAGCTGCCTTCCTGGTCCTTCAGCGTGGGAGAGGTTTGCCATGTCTTGCCCAGCCTGGGCTGTGCTCACATCCAGGAGCACTTCATTTTGTTCAGACCCTGGGTCTCAAACAGGAGTTCTGGGATGAGCATTGTTGCTGTTGGGGTTATCATTGTGATCTCTCACTGCTTTTTAGGTTTTATAGCGTTTTCAAGCATGCCACACCTGGCTGAGAAAATCAAACTCTTCTTTGCACTGGCTCCTCTCTACACTTTTCATCACGTCAAAGGCCCTGTGCTAAAGATAGCATTTTTACCAGATGTGGTGCTGAAGGTGCGTGAGGTGCTTGTGTGTTATTACTACTGAAACCCAGAAGCTTTCTACATCTTGTGTCCCCTGCATTGCCACCGTGCCCTGAGCCCATGCCTGTGGCAGGTGTTGAAGACCAAACAGCAGGGATGTCCCTCTCCACCCAGTTGAGCACAACCAGATTTCACTGTTTAAAATATCCATACCTCTCTATCATTCCTGTTTATTTTTTTGCTTATTGACTTCATCACCCTCAGTCCCGTAGCCTGAAAGGTGCTCAGAACAGACCCACACCATCTCCCTTCCACCCTTGGCTCCAGCAGCTGGAGAAGGGCTGGAAGGGGAGCTGGCATTCTCCCCCTGAGGAGCACCTGTCAACAAAGGTGGCAAATGAGTGGTATGAGTCTGGCCATCATGGGCTGAGCTTTAGAAGCTGGTACCTTACACATGATGTACCAGGATGGCATGATGACAGCATGGCATGGAAAGGATGTTTTCATGTTGCTCTGGGAGTTGGGTGTGACCGTAGGTCAACCTCTTCAAGAAGTTGGCTAGCCCAAATATGTCAAAAGCCTATCAGCGCTGTTTGGAAACAAGAGGTTCTTGTGGAGAGCGGACATGTGTTGCAGGTCCCTTGGTGACCTGTTTCTTTGTGCTCTTGCAGGCAATATTTGGAACAAAACAGCTGACTTTGGTGGGGAGGAAGGAGAGAGCCATCCTTGCAAAAGCATGCAGCAACCTACTAACAGCTGAAATCTGTGAAAATGAGATCTTCATTATTGGCGGGTACAACAAGAACTTGAATGTGGTGGGTTCATCAGCCTCTCTAGGTCACAGCCATCTCCAGTTTTTCTAGACACCTGGACATAGATAATGAGATACAAAACTGAGTATAAAAACCAAAAGAAGGTGTGAAAAGCACTGTTCAAGGCAGCTGTTATTTGGAGAGTTCTTTCAGTGGTGTTAGGGTGTTAAAAATAATGGAAGTTTCATTAGTAAAGGGTCACTTGTGGTCTTGTCTGCAAAGGAAAGGTAACTCCTGCCTCATCTGCAACAAGTTTATAGAAAAAAAAAAAGAACACAAAAATTAACTGGTCCAGTTGTATTTCCATTTTAAAGCAGTGGTTAACTAGCTTACCTTTAAAAGCTACTCCTAGCTCTGAACAGAATAAAGCTGCTGGAGAATATAAAGTTTATATTGCAGTTATAAGACAGAATGATTTTTTTTTGTTTTTGCCTAGAAAGATTTTCATCATTCCCAACTGACTTAGAAAATGCTTTCTTTTTCTCATAGAGCCGACTGGATGTATACCTAGCTCATTTTCCAGACTATACATCAGTAAAAACTCTTCTCCACTGGGGACAGGTAGAAATTCTGAATTTGTAATGACTGTAACCAATGCTTTTTCTTTTAATCAGTGAATGTGATATTTTACAATGCTGCTTCATCATCCTGGACACAGGTAAGGAGGCAGAATCAGGTGAAGACAATAGAAGTTACTTTGAAGTTCCTACCATGGTGTCTGAAAAGCCACAGCTGTTAGTTAGCTGTTAGTTTCTGACTGGCCAAGGCCAAGCCCAAGCCACCCAGGTACCCACCTCCGTCCTGGGTAAGAACACCATGTTGGTGGTTTTTAGACTCCCTCTTTGCTGTGGCCAACGGGACGGGCACCAGCAAGAGCCAGCCCTAACACAAGGGTCCTCACCTGGACCCCGCTGCTGCCCTTTGCTTTTGATGACGGTGATCCAGGACGTTATCTGTATGGGGTTAACCCTTTGCCTCTGCCTTTCAGACCGCCAAAACCGGGGAGTTCAAGCAGTTTGACTATGGGGAGAAGAACCAAGAGAAGTACCACCAGGTAAGTGGGCATTTGTAGAAGGAGGAGCAGAGGATGAGATTGGCTAGGACCAGGATGGGAGTAGCCTCCACCAGTGGTCAGCATGGCCTGCATGGGATGCCAGGGGAAGCAGACCCCATCCATTAGTGCTATTAGTGTCAGAGCTCATAAATAACCGGAGCATTTCTCCCCTCCCAGGCTACCCCCCCCTTTTACAGGATAGAAGACATGACGGTGCCAACCGCCCTGTGGAGCGGTGGGCAGGATTGGGTGACTCCCCCTCTGGAGACCCAGCGCTTACTCCCCCGCATCACCAACATCATCCGTCACGAGCACTTCCCTGACTGGAACCACTTCGACCACCACTGGGGTTTGGATGCTCCCCAGCGCATGTACAGGCAGATTGTTGCTCTAATGAAGCAAAATCCATGAATGGTCCACATGCTGTCCTGGGACGGAGGAGCTGCCCCTTCCCATGTGCCATGGGGCATGTGTTTTGTGTGAGGGCTGCCACTCTGCTCTTCACTTCTTAAAAATGCTTCCTATCACCCTATTCCACACTGATTTAATGCCTTAAATGTAATGGTGTAATTTCTGCCTGCCCTCTGTGACTAGAGATTGCAATAAACCCTTGTATCACAGCCAAACTCCAACCCTTTGCTTGGTGGGCATCACTGGGGTTGTGTTTGCACCCGACTGCCAGGGTGAGGTGTGCAGAACACCCTGTTTATTTAGTTTTCTAGATTTTGCTGGCTCAGGGTATTGCAAGCACAAAATTTTACTCCAGAAATTGACTGCTTTGGGTTGTAGGTTCAGGTGAAGGAAGAGTGGAAAGTGACATTGTCTGTGTCTCTGGAAAGGTTGGAGGGGGTGAGCTCTGACTGCAGGAGAGAAACATTCCTCCCAGTAGAATGAATCCAGAGATGCTGATGCACACCACACACCCAAGAGGTGGTGAAAGAGAAACATCTGTGTCTTGGTGTTAGGCTAGATCTTTCCTGGGAGATAACCCACCCACATCACCTCTGGGGTAAGCTTTATGGCAAAATCCTAGCTCTGTTTTCTAGGAAGTTGAATTTAACATGGCCCACTGTTATCTAAGAATAATACTCTGTTCTTAGCATATATGTTTGAAGAATATCTATCTACCTATCTATTCTCTCTGTCCATCCATCCATCCATCCATCCATCCATCCATCCATCCATCCATCCATCCATCCATCCATCCATCCATCCACTCATCTATTGTATCTATCTATCTATCTATCTATCTATCTATCTATCTATCTATCTATCTATCTATCTATCTATCTATCCATCCATCCATCCATCCCTCCAAGAGATGTGTGATACTCACCTGTGAAGTCTATCTAAGTTTAAGATGCATGTGAAGAACACTGTCAACAAAATGCAGGGGTTGAAAAGAGAATTTCATGGGGCTCAGGGCAGGCGATCACCCCCACCAAAGCACTGATGATTTTGATGATTTTGGTGAGACATTCCCAAACTGCCTGCCCATCCTCCCAACTCTGCACACTGAGTGCCCATGCAGAGTTGGGACAGGAGATGTGAGGACGTGATCTTTACTTGTGCTGTAAGTAAACAGCCCAGAAGTATCCTGAGTGACCCCTGTCCCATCTAAGCATGGGGTCAAAGTGGCTTTGCTGACTTAGCAAGCAGCACAGGGGCACCAGGTTTTATGGGAGATGGATGGGAGGGGTGTTGCCAGCCTCCTCCTTCCCTCTTGTTCCACTGTCCCATCTCCTTGTGTCGCTTCAGCCTCAGGAGCAGGGCACACTGTGGGGTCAGAGTGAGGGCTGATGTTCACAGCCTGTGCTTGAGCTTCCTGCATTAAGGCCACAGGAGCCAAGCTGACGATGGTGGTGAAAAGATGGAGGTATACTCCCAATTGGAGCTATTACCCAGGGAAGAAGTGATTATTCCCCCAGGTACCTTCCCATATGGTATGACCGGTCTCCATCTGATTAACCAGGCTCAAAAGCAAAGGTACAGGATGAATCTTCAAACTGGCAGGATCTGTGAGTTGAGCTGCCCATGTGTCTTAAGGCATGCTGCTTTCATGGGCTACTCCTGTGAAAGTAAAAGTGTCTTCTGAGCACCATACTCTGCCCACCCTTTCGTCCCCCTCCTTCCTCCACTGCCAACAGTGTTGGGTGGATTCACTGGGAGGGGACCCAAACTGCGTGTGGCCACAACCAGCCAAGGAGTGACTGGCCCTGGACAGGGTGCTCTGCAGTGTCATCATGCATGACCACGCCACTGCCAGGATGTGGTTGTGGCCAGGGAGGGAAGAGCAAAGCTGCATGTGTTGGCACAATGAGTGTTGGAAGATCCCTGCCTGCCCCCTGCGAAGTCCCAGAGGGCTGGGTGTGAGAGGGGTGCATGGGAAGGGGCTCGTCATACCCAGAGCTGGGATCCCCTAAGTCCTGCACAGTTGCCCTGCAACACAACCTCAGTGATGCCCACCAAGAGAAGAGTCAGACTGGGCTTCAGCATGGGAATTTATTACTTAAATAATTCCTAAAAACAAGGGAAAGAAATAGTACTGCACACAAGGAAGAAGCTTGGAGGGTAAAACACCAGGGCACTCTGTAGTCACAGAAGGCAGAGAGAAATCACAGGACTGTGTTAGCTCACTAAATCGGTGTGAAATAGGGTGACAGGAGATGTTTCTAGGGATGAGAAAGCAGGGTGACAATCCTGGTACAAAAGCCAGTCATGCACAGAATGTGGGAATGGATGGCTCCTCCATCCCAGGGCAGTACGTGGACTGCCCATGGATTCGGATCCATTGGAGCAACCAGAGTAACCATCTGCCTGTGAGTGTGCTGAGGAGTGTTTTAGTGGTTTAAGCCAGAGGGCACAGGAACACCATGCAGCTGCTTGCTCACCCTTTCCCTCTCAGGGACAGGAAGGAGGAAATAAAACAAAAGGCTCAGGAATGGAGATAAGAATAGAGAGGGATGACTCACCCATTATGGTCATGGGCAAAAGAAAAAGACAGACTGGTTAGGGGAAGAAAAAGAACATTATTTGTTTCAAACACTAACACCACCACCACTTAACAGACAAAGACAGTGAGAACCATTATCACATCACATTTAAGAAATGATTTTAAAATCATTTTCCCCCCCCACTCCCTTTTTCCCTGGGCTCAGCTTTGCTCCCAATTTCTCTACCTCCTCCCCTACAGTGGCTCCGGGGCCCAGGCTTCAGATGTGATCCCAGTGGTTCCAGTCAGGGAAGTGCTCATGACGAATAAGGTTGGTGATGCAGGGGAGCAAGCATTGGTCTGGAGGGTGCTCAAAGTGTAGTCTCTTGGGCATTGTTTGGAAAATTAGCCTGTTAGGTCTTCTGAGAGCTGCTATCTCTGCCCAGCTTTTCAGATATCCCTGGGACAACGTGACCATGAGGTGGTGATGAACCATGGTTGAACTCTTTGTAATCAGCAAAAAATGAAAGGTGCATCCACTTTCTTAATTTCAAGATACCCGCTATGACCATTCAGAATATGCTTTAATTATTGAATTATTGAAAAATTAATGATCTCACTTTCTGAAGGAAGGGACAATCCAATGAGGATTTATTCATGTGGACCTGGTGTCAATTCTGTCAGTCTAGGACTGTCCTCCTGGTTTCACCCTTCATTAGCCACTGACGGCCAGAAACAAACTCTCACCATCGGTACATCCAAATTAGAGTCTTACCGGTTTTCTCTGTCCCTAACTGTTTATGCTGAAATGTCTTCATCTTGGAGGAAGAAGCATATGGATGTTGGACAAATTCAGCTGAAAATACTGTCTTTCTCCATTACTCTTGGTTCACTTTGTGGTTGGCAGTGGACTGCAATGTGCTCTTGCAGCAGTGATCTCAGTTTATCCCATGACCACTTCCTTAAGCCATTAGTGGGGATGGTACGTGGGTGTCTACAGAGCTGGGGGTTGGCTTGGCAGGGTGAGGGTTGCACCAGGGAATCAGCATGGATTGTGCATCCCTCAAGACTGGGGTTTTGGTGTTCAGGGAGTCCCTTCTGAGGGTGGGTTGTTTACAACAGGCAGAGGTGTCATCCAGTGGAGCAAGCCCATGCAAGGGTTGGAAGATGAGGCTGATGGCAGGGACCTGTGTGGTCACCAAGGAAACATGGGGAGAGGGGACACTTCACCAGTCCTGCTGCCATGTCCATCCACACGGTGAATGGAGCGATGTGGCAGACCATCAACCCCGTCAACCCAGCAGCACCAACCCAGCAGTGTGCTGGGAGCTCAGGGGGAAGTTTGCCATGGTGGCACAAATAACTCCACTTCCTGATTTTGGCTAGCAATTATTAACTGCATAACTAATTAGGATGAGAAAACGAGAACACAACACTTACCTTACTTATTGCATCAGGAAGATAGGAAAGACTTAATACTGGACCTTTACCTATACATAAACTGTAGGCAGGACCTACTACAAAGAGCCATTTGATTTTCTCAGCCAGCTGCAGCATGCTTGAGAATGCTATGAAACCAGAAAAAAAAAAAACAAAAACAAACCACAGGAGACCTCAGAGGACTTACAAGTAACTGCCATGTGAACCCAAGCACATGAATTTCCTCCTGGCATCCCAGATCCCCTGTTTGAGACACAGAGTATGAACAAAATGAAGGTGCAGCTCTCTGGATGTCAGCACAGCCCAGAATGGCTCAGAAAGACATGGCAAACCTCTCCCATGCTGAAGGACCAGGAAGGCAGCTGGGGAAAGCAGCCCTATGGGCCAACACAACCCCGTGCCCAGCATTCTCCAGTTTGGACAGATACCGATGGCCCTCTCTCTTGGCATCCTGGTACCCTGCTCCTCCTCCTCGCTCACCCACTGAGTTGCCCTGAGCGTGGCCAATGTAGAAGAGTTTCTCCTGCCTGGTTTGCCTTAGGATGAAGTCCACCATGGCAGGGAGGTCATACATGGCCATCTCATGGAAGCTGCAGAGCAAGGGGAAAAGCTGGAGGAGGCGTTCATGTTCCAACCTCCCAAGCACACCAGGCGATTGGTGTTGGCAGCCCAACATCCCAGCTGCATCCTTGGTGGCCTCCTCACCTGAAATCCCAAAACTCCTCTTGGTTGACAGAAAGGTTCAGGTGCTGATGAAGCCAGCTGTTGCCCCAGTTGTTTCTGATACAGATGTCATATCTCATGTTTATCAGGGTGAAGCCCAGGCTGCCATTGGGGAAATAGGAAACCAAATTGCTACCATCTAAAGCCAAGCCATGCTGGAGCAACACAAGTAACCTGGGTCCTGGAAATGACAGAAAAAAAAAAAAAAAAAGATTGATGAGAGTACCTGGGAATGGAAAAGGAGCTGCCTCCACCTCCAACCCATGGGTGTGTGATACTTTCATATCACAAATGGAAAGTCTTCTGCAGGGGACAA